GTAAACTTAAAAGATCTAATATTTGGCTCTCTATCACTGTGGATCAACAACTCAGATTTGATTATGAAACTATTTTTTTCTCTTCCCTTCTCCTCCCTTAGTTAGACTTCCAAACATGATGAACTAACTTCTCTCACATTCTCTGAACTAAGGTTACATATCTTAAGGCTTCAGCAATCTTATATCAGTTTTTAGTTATATACACTTTTTGACACTTGCTGGATATTTTTTTAATGTGTTTTGCACTACTTAGGATAAGCTTTCTTGTTATTAACTTCCATATAAACTACAACGATTGTAAAAATGTATGGAAGAAGGCTACACGTTCTCTTACTTCAGCATGTCTCTGTCCTTATTAATGTGTATAAGTGTGATTATGTGTCGTTCTGTACATGCCATATCCTTCTCCTCCTTTTCTCTTTTTGAGATCTTCCACACCTGCACATCCATTTTTTGTTGTGTTTGTGTGAACATCTAGCAAATTCTCCATAGACTAATTACATTATTTGTTTCGATCCTTAACTTCCTTGCAAGTTTGTGTCTTATCGGTGGTGAGTCCAAAAAGATTTCTCAGGAGAGCAAACGATAAGTATCAATTTACCTTAATGAAAATAGGCTACTAGTTTCAAATGAGTTGAATGAAAATGTGCTAGTAATTTGTAAATGCTTACTACAAATCTTCTTGGTTGTGTCTTTGTGCTGCTTATCCGCTCATGGATGGAAAGCCGTGAAATGTACTTGAAAACTCAAAGTGGGGTGCAAATGTTCTTAGACTATGGGTGGCGAACCAAAACTGTAGAAGGCTTTAAATGTAATTTATAGATTGTTAGGGGTGGCACTGCACCCCCAGTCAACACTATGTATCCGCCCCTTTGTCTTATGTCTGTGCAAGTTTTCCATAACAAATTTGTTTTTTTCTTGAGGTTTGACATAACAGTCGATTCTGATACATATAGTTGAATCATGTTGGATTTTAAGCATGTCGTTCATTTTCACCCTAAACAAACTGATACATGTTGGATCATAACTTCCAGTACGAGATGATAGTGTGGAACAACTAGTAGAGGAGAAATTCTGTGGTTAGCAGCATTGATGGGATTGTGCTCTATTTGATAAAAGCAGACGAAACAATAAATAAAACCTTGTGATTAGATTTTGACTTACTCCATTTATTAATAATGTCGATCTGAAACTATGTAAACTGTCCAAACTTCCGCTACTGACTCCAATAAAGGTGAAGCAAAGGCTGTTCCTTGATTTAGATCCTTTATCTGAGCCCTCCTTGATTTAGATCCTTTATCTGAGCCCTTGTATTTTCTTGAATAGAAACTGCAAAGTATTTTCCCCTATCGATCCACTTGCTTGATCTTTGTCCCAATTTTACCTATCATATTTTCTTCTCTCGGCAAATAAAAGTTAAAAAAACAATCACATTATCACTATAGACGTGAAGTGTTATTTATTCGTATTTGTTACCTTTAGTTGCTAGTCATTTAAGACTGTTTCTAATATAGCATGCCTCCTATAGATATGCCAGTTGACGCATGCCTCTACATATTTGTGGTTAAGATGTTTAATCCTGTGTCATTATTAACGTGCAGTGGTATGTTTCAATCCAAGCCCCAACTATGGAACAAGTACTATGTGAAGTAACAACAGAACAACTGATGCGTTCAAAATCTCATATTGAGTTAATATTTATCACTCAATTTGTACCTCAATATTGTTGAGTTAATATTCATTAACAGCCAAACAAAATTCCATTTATAACTCCATTCATTAACGGACAAATATTGAGTTGATATTTGTCACTCTATATGTAAGTCAAAATCTGATATTGAGTTAGTATTCATTAACAGCCAAACAAATTTCCACTTACCTTCCTTGAGTATCCATTGTGCACTAGAACAAACAGACCATGCAGTCTTAGCCTCATACTAACGAAGTTGTTCTTTAAATTGTCCGTTTTTCATTTTACTTCCAGTCAACTCTGTACTTATTCTGTTCTTTTCCCTTTCTGTTGCCTTGTTGCATTGAAATATAATGAGATCATATCTGACAAGTATGTTTTGTGCTTCAGCCTATTATATAAATTGGAAATGAAACTCTGTTCTTATATCATTGCACTTGTTGAGTATCTTCCTTGTGATTGTACATTTTGGACTTGCGCACTCTTTATTGCATTGACTCTCTATCATCCCATAGAAGTTCTTCATCTTTGAAACCTCTGGAGCTTATCCCATGGCTTGGTTTGAACTGATATTCCCACATTGCAACTCCTGTTGGTATTTA